CCCGCACATTCATCCTGGTTCCCCGTGTTTGTACAAGCACAAACGGCTGGCTTTTCATTTTTAACGAGGGCCGGGGAGTGAGCGCGCAGGATTAGGCCATCAATAAGTAACGAGACGGTCGGGAGGGACGTTCACCACCGCGGCCCGGAGAGGGAGCGGGGCTGCGCCGCCCCCTGCAGCCCGCAGCTCCCGGAGGGCAGCCGCCCCGCGGGACCCCCACGCTTTCCCTGACCTGCCGCCCCCGCCCAGATTTGCCATGGGGACTCTGCGGAGCTGCAGGGGACACCCCGAAGGTGGGCCGGGAGGCGTCCCAGGTGTGGGACTTCTCTGAGGTTTAGGTGTAGAAGGGTCCCTGGGAGCCCCCTTCTCTCCCTGCCCTGGCACAGAGGGCCCTTAAGGACAAGGGGGGAGGGCTGTGGCCCTGGACACACTCCTATGAAAGAGAAGGGGTAGATGCCACTGGGGAGGACCCAGCATGCTTCCTTCAGGAAAGGCATGCTCGGGAACTGAGAATGCCTCTCTCCATCCTGAGATACACCACTCAGACAGCTCCTTCCTGCAGGGAGCAGCCATGGAGGAGGCCAGGCCTGCCCCATGTGCAAGTGTGTGTGTGTTTGCGGGACTGGCTGCTTCCTGCGTGCAGGTGGAGCCAGGCTGGCTGCCCTGCATTGTTCCTGGATCTCCTGTGGCTGCGTCTGTCTCAGAATTTCAGGGGAGGTGGAGGGTGGGGCTTGGCCACGTGCCTATGTATGCGAGTGTCCTCAGAGGCTGTGGGAGTGGCTGAGCACACACTGCAGCCCTGTACGTCTTGTGGGGCCCGTTGGGCTGTCCGTCTGTCTGTACTGGAAGGCAGGTGAAGGTGTCTGAGCAGGTGCTGCTAGAAAGACCTTGGGTGTGTGTGTGGGGGGGTCTTTGCACTGAGTGTGTCGACTTTGAGGGTATTGGTGCAGTGTGTGTCTCTCTGTTCATGCTGCACCTTGAGATGTGGACAGTCTTATCAGATCCCTGAGTGAGCTGATGGGTATGTCTGCCCCACTGTCCCAGCTTTCCCTGGAAGCACTGCAGTGTGCGTGTGCATGTGCGTGTGCGTGTGTGTGTAGTGAGAGCCTCACCCCCATCCCCACTCACCTGGGCACAGGAGTTCAAAGATAACAGCTTTTGTAGCAGGTGCGCAGCTGAGAGATGCAGAATCTTCCTGAGCCTCAGCCCCTCCTCCCAGCCTGAGGCACTTCCCCAGGGGTTCAGACCACAGTCTGTCCTTTTTGACTGGCTCCTCCCAGCTGTCTAAGCCCTCAACCCTGCTACCCCCCCCTTTGCCCTCCCCTCCCCAGGTTGCAGGAGTCAAGGGAGCTTTTTGTCCAGACTATCTCCGTGCTCCATGGAAGGGGCTTTAAAATGCCCCTTGCACAGTTTCTGGGCTTCCTTGCCCGCCTGTCCCCTCAGCAGCAGTGACGTGATACCCTGACAGCCCAGATCCCATTTCCAAACATTAATAACTTCCTTAATCTCCAGCTGGCTTTTTCCAGATAAGCTGGCCAGCCCCCTCCCTGACAAGCAGGCTGGTAGTATAGACTCCTTTGGAGCCACCTGAGTCACCTGGACCCCACCTGGGGTTCCTATCCTTGCCCCAATTAACCTCCCCCTGTCCCCCAAATCAAGTTCTGCCCGATTCCTGTCCCCCATAGCACCCCAGCTCCTGTTGCTGTGATAGTTGCAGCCTGAGGGGAAAGTTCTCTGAGCTGTGGAAGGAGTGACCCTAGATGAACTGGGGGCCAGCCCACTCCAGCCATGCCTGGCCTCGGGGAAGGACAACTGACCAACCTCAGAAGGGGGTGCTTATGGGGTACATTCCTACCAAGACTAGGAAGAAAGAGGAGAGGAGGTGAGACCCCTGTTGAGAGCCCCACTGCCTGAAGTGTGGGAGAATAGTGGGGGTGGGGCTCCTGCCTGAGCATCACCCCAAGAAGCGCCCTTGGCCACCATGGACCAGCCCTGGGTTCTAATCATCCCATTTGGAACTAGGAATTGCCTGGGATCCGAGATGGAGTTGAGAAAGGGCAGCTTTTATGGACCCAGAGGATCCAGCAGGTCTGTTTTTTAACTCAGAGTTCTGACTCAGAGGCAACAGCCTGAGGCTCAGACCTCAGGATGGGTGGGACACTGGAGGGGCGCTTCTAGTTGATGGTTTTAAGAGCTGCTGGGTACCAGGTTCCACACCAAGTGCTAGAGGCCACACAGTCCCTGTCATTGGGGGTGACCTTCCCAGGGGTGGGAGCTGAAGCAAATAAGGAGAGAAATAATATCTGTGATGAGAGGCTTGAAGCATGAGGGCCCCAGGGCTCATCCCTCAAAACCACATAATTCAGAAGTAGAAGAGAGGGCAAGGGACTTGACCAGGGTGACACGGGGGATGTGGGGCACTGCTGGGACCAGGATCCTGGCACCCCTGAGACATAGCAGTGCTGAAGGTGGAATGAGGGCCCCCCCACTCCACACACACCCTACAGGGGAGCTTCGCTGCCACTGTCCCTAAACAGGTGGCCCTATGCCCAGGAAGAGGCTGCAGCTAGCACTAGCATCAGGGAACACGGGGCTGTGCAGCTTTTATTTTGCTTTAGGGAGAATGGAATAATTGACTGTTGTGGCTGTGGTGTTGATGCCCATGACTGGATGTGGGGAAATGTGTGTGTGTGTGTGTGTGTGTGTGTGTGTGTGTGTGTGTGTGTTCCCACTGGGCAGGTGCAGGCCAGTGCCCAGTGGGAGAATGGTCTATGGGGACAGCCCTGGCCCCTACATGGCCCCCCCCCCCC